GTGGTGCCCGCGGTGGGGTGGGGGTCACAGAAACACAGAATCAGTTTGGTTGGAACAGACCTCCGAGATCATCGAGCCCAGCCTGTCACCATCCAACACCACCTTGTCAACTAGACCCGTGTCCAGTCTTTCCTTAAGCGCCTTCCGGGACGGTGATTCCGCCGCCTGCCTGGGCAGCCTGTCCTGACGTCTTATCGCCCTTTCTGTGAAGAAATCCCTCCTAATGTCCATCCTGAACCTCCCCTGGCGCAGTTTGAGAGTATAAAGTCCGGGTGTGTGCAGCCAGCGCCGCCCTCCCTGCGCCTTGGTGGGATGTGGTGCCTGGAGCCGCTCGGAGGGGGAAGATGCACAAGGCGTTTGCTTTTGTTCAGCGTACCCCTCGGAAAGAGTTTGGCTTGGAACAGCCTTCCTGGTTTCTAAAACCCTGCCCTGAGAGAATTTGCCAGTGGCATGAATGGAAGCGTTCACGGCCAGGTTGGATGGGGCTTGGAGCAACCTGGTCTAGTGGAATGTGGCCCTGGCCATGGAACGAGATGATCTTTAATGACTCTTCCAACCCAAACCATTCTGTGATTCTAGGAATATCCTGTTAAGGCAGCCCACCAGGAGGCATTTTTTGTGATCAAATATTTAGGACTATTCTAATCTGCCCTATACCAGGGGCTGTTGCTGTCCCCTTGTACAGCCAGCAGTGCAGTACAGCATTTCCTGATTCACAGGGCTGGAAGCAGGGAATTAAATCTCCCATTGCTCTGTGTGTGTAAAATATTCACAGATGGGATGAGGCTAAGAAGAACGTTAATGAGGACAGTGCAATAATGGCAAGGATTTGGCAGAGAGACTTAATTGACTTTTATTGAGGCTCCAGCGGTTACACCTGAAGCAGCAGAACTAGACCAAATCCACGGGTTCTAATGGGGTGAGGAGACCTAGAAAGCAGAAATACAGAAAAGGAAACAGGGCAGGCAGGGAAGGGCAGGTTTGTGCCTGTCCTTACATAACGGAGAAGTTTGCTATCAGTGACAGTGATGCGCTGTGGGATTACACGGGCAGAGCTGAGTGAAAAACAGGGAAGGTAAAAAGCCTATCACCCTCAAATTAAACACTCTGTTCAGAAGGAGAGTGAGAAACTGTAGTTCAGAGGAGACAGTGCAAGCAATGAGTGAGAGCATGAGGTTAGACAGCAAACAACCCCTGCAGAGCCTGGTAACATGCCCATGAGGAAATATGAAAGCCACACGTGTGCAGGTGCTTGCCAGTGAGTCAGTCACTGAAAGCTGCAGATAAGCACCCAAGGAAAGTCCCAGTGCTGTCTCTGGGCACGGGGAGCTTTCTGCAACATCAGGGAGAATTGAACATCAGCAACGTGAGTCCAATGGGATTCAGAGCCATCAGGGAGACAGGGATGAAATTAAGGACGGATATTTCAGTTTAGGGTGAGCAGTGGGAAGATATTGACAGCTGATGATATAGCAGGACTTGTGATATATAGAAGAAATTCTTTACTGTGAGGATGGTGAGGCACTGGAACATGCTGCCCAAAGAAGCTATGGCTGCCCCATCCCTGGAAGTGTTCAAGGCCAGGATGGGGCTTGGAGCAACCTGTTCTAGTGGAAAGTCTCCCTGCCCATGTCAGGGGCTGGAACAAGATGAGTTTCAAGGTCCCTTCCAACACAGGCCATTTTGTGATTCTCTGTTATTTTGTGCCCTCCTGTGTGCCACCTCATGCACCTCCCTGTGCTGTGTGCCATCCTCCACCCTTTCTCTCTCTCTCTTCAGAGCTTCCTGGCTTTCCTGGCTGTGAGATGTATCAACATCAATCAAAGCAGCATTTTGAAATACTTTCTCTTATACTGCTGTGGGAAATGATTCACAGAATATCAGTTATTGATACTGAATGTGGTGTTTTGGCAGAGCCAGGCCAGGAGGAGACAGTCAGTGGCATGAACCTCTTTCCTCTCTAGTGTCACTGCTTTGAACTGGAGGTAGAGGTGACAAGGTCTCTTTGTAATTTCATCCTGTCATTTTGAATCACACCAGGATCCTTATCAGCAGGGTTTTTTCAGACAACAGATAGCATATTACTCTCAATGGTATTTCCTTTTTAAAACAGCACTATGTGCTTTGATCAACTTGTAAAGGACAGATGAGAGTTGGATGCAGTTAGATTCGATGTAACAGCCTGGGATATGAGAAAACTATTGGCATAATACACAGTTCTGGACACATGAGTTAAGGGCCAGTGCAGTCTATAAACATTCTAGAAACAGCAGAGGTAATATTTATGGAAGTAACCTTGAAACTAGATTAGAGAGGCACATGTCCCAGTAGATTTCATATACTGAAGTCTCCAGACTTAAACCGAACAAAAGATTCAATTGCTTTGCACGGTGTGTTAATGACCAGCAGCTAGGAAAAGTGTGTAAAATTCTCAGTTTTGAGGAAAGGTGCTGTCTAAAACTAACTGGGACTTGGACTAGATTCACTTCCAGCCCTTGCAAGTTCTTCTTGTGTTCTAAATAAGCCTTGGATATCTTTAGCTCGTACCCCTTCAAGGCCCATCAAGGGGTATTTACTTATTCTTCCCCCTGCAGGTGCGTCTGCTCCTGCCACATATCAAGCAATAAGGGGACCTGGAGGTGCAATGCCACAATGGGCATCCTACAGAGACTCTCAGGACAGACAGCACAGCTTGAAACAGCTGCAGCACAGCAGAGGGTTTGGTCTGTCCCCAAGCAGGGCAGCAGCGAGTGTAGGTACGAGGAGGACCAAAGAACCTGAAGGTTTCACTGTACTGATGGGATTTTGTTGCTCAGATACGGCTGTGTCAGTGCAGGGGTAAGAAGAAGAGCTGTGAATAGCTCCCAGGGCCCAGGGGTGTGCACAGGAGCTGTGCCCATGTTCAGGGCTTGGAAACTGGCAGGGGGCCATGGGAATCCACTGGAATTCATCCCCGCAGGAAGTTCTCATCCACATATAGCACTTCCTCCCCTGGCAGCAGCCACATGCAGTGCCATGCTCCCATGGCACAAGCCACAGTCTGCAGGGCACTGTTGCAGAGGAATTAGGAATGGTGGGCAGAGAGGGGCCACAACATCGTAGGAGCTCCTCTCTCACATCCTGTGTGATGAGGGCTGGGGTGTGGGACCTCTCTGGCAAACATTTCCACAACTGTTTCACTCTGTTGAAGTAGAAAGTTAAAAACATAAATGAAAGTTCAAATCCTATGTACAGCGCTGCCAGGAACCTTGGAGCATTGCTTGGGCCATCTCCTGCCTTGATGCAGGATCAGCTCCATTAAACATCTTCTACACAGGAGCTTGCCTAGTGCTTTTTTTAATAAATCCTCTGTGGATTAGAGTCCTTACTCTCCCTAAACAACATGTTCTAGGACTTAACCATTCTCACACCTAGAAAATGTCCCTGAATGACTATCCTGAATTGCCCTTCTTACAGTGTTGAGCTGGCAACATTTTGTTCTAATCCCCACGGGGAAGATAAAGGTATTCCCTTCCTGTTTGTGGAAGCCTTTTATGTATTTGGAAATGGTTATCGTGTCCCCGCAGCCTTACAGCCCTGCAGGGACCTTCCCCAAACTAAACACGGATGGTTCCTGCAGTCCTGCAAAACCAGGCCCCGGGCTTTTCCTGAGACCCTGCTGCAGTCTCTCCATCAGGCCTCACCTTTCTCAAAACACAGTACCTGCCAACGTTTATATGCCCCAGTGAGACAGTCTGCCTTTTTCACTGCAGCACCAAATCGGCTCTTTGATCCACTGTACTCGGGATCTTTATCTGCAAAAGGCCTGGCTAGCCAGCAGGGTTCCCATCTTGCATTTTCACAGATCATTATCCCTACCTAAGTACAGTACTTTGCACTTGTCTGCATGGAATTGCACCCCACATTTTGCAGAGTCTTTTTCCATTTTGTCGAGAGCATTTTGACTGAATTGTGGCCTCCAGAGCAGTCATGACTCTTCCCAGACGGGTCCATTTGCCAAAGACATAAGCATAATTTTTATTCCTGCTTTTGGGTTGTTATTAAGCACTTCTAAGTGCTCCCAGGACCAGGGCCCAGATGGGGTGGGAAAATCACAGAATCATTAAGTTTGGGAAAGACCTCTAAGATCAAGTCCAACCGTTTACCCAGCACTACTGTGTTTGCCACTAAATAGTGTCCCTAAGTGACATATCTGCACGGTTCTTGAAGGCTTCCAGGGATGGTGATTCCACCATTTCCCTGGGCAATCTGTTCCAATGCCCAGCTACACCTTTGGGTGAAGAAATTTTTCCAAATATCTGAAACCCCGCTGGAATAATTTGAGGCTATTTCCTCTTGTCCTATCACTTGTTACCTGGGGGAAAAGGCCACCTCCCACCTGTCCACAACCTCCTTTCAGGGAGTTGTCAAGAGCAATAAGGTCCCTCTGAGCCTCCTTTTCTCCAGGCTGAGCCCCCCCAGCTGCTCACCAGACTTGTGCTCCAGACCCTTCTCCAGCTCCGCTGCCCTTCTCTGGACTCATTCCAGCACCTCAATGTCTTTCTTGTCGTGAGGGGCCCCAAACTGACCCCAGGATTTGAGGTGCCTCAGCAGCGCCCAGAACAGGGAGATGGTCAGTGCCCTGGTCCCGCTGGCCACACCGTTGCTGATATAAACCAGGATGCCCTTGGCCTTTTCGGCCAGCGTGGGGGACACACGATGGAGGTTCGTGGGGGACACACGATGGAGGTTCGTGGGGGACACACAATGGAGGTTCGTGGGGGACACACAATGGAAGTTCGTGGGGGACACACAATGGAAGTTCGTGGGGGACACACAATGGAGGTTCGTGGGGGACACACAGTGGAGGTTCGTGGGGGACACACAATGGAAGTTCGTGGGGGACACACAGTGGGGGTTCCCAGCACTCGCTGGGATGATGGCGAGCGGTCAGACAGGCAAAGGGAGCCGGTGGGGAGGCCGAGCGGGGTCCGGGGCACGGCGCGGTCCGCACCGCCTTTGTCCCGCGGGCGGGGAGGGCGCGGGCGCGGTGCGGGCCCGTGCGGCCGCATGGCCGCCCGCCGGCGGGCTGGGCCCGAGCCATGTCAGCCTGCGGCAGGCAACCTGGCAAGGGAGCCGCAGCGCCGGGGATTGAACCAGGCGGGGAGGAAGGCCTTGACTCATCAGATAAATCGACAGCCCCGCAGCGGCGAGCGAAGGCGGAGGAGGCGCGGCGGCGGCGGCTGCGACAGGGGAGAGGATGGCGGAGGGACAGCGACAGCGGCCTGGAAGGAGCCAGGGGCAGCCCAGCGGCGGCGAGCCCTTCCTCATCGGGGTCAGCCGAGGCCGGCACTGGCCAGCGCAAGGTGCGGGGGCTCGGCGGGGCAGCCCTGGGGGCCCGGGGGAGGCCCCGCGGTGCGTGCAGCCTCCCCGCGCCGGCGCGGCGGCGCAACATGGCAGCGCGGCGGGTCCGAGCGACCGCCCCGCAACCGTGCGCCGCCGCGCCGGGCCGGGCATGGCGGGCCGGGGCCCCCCGGGCGGGATGGGATGCGGGTGTGATATGGAGCGCCGCGTGGGCTCGCTGGCTGCCCGGGGAACGGGCGAGCCTGCGGAGGGAGCACGGCCGCCGAGGCCTCTCTGCCCGGCGTGGCGGCTCGGGAGCCCCCGCGGAACACGTGGATGGAGGGTGCGGGGTGGGTACGGGATTTACCCCTTCTTACCTGGCCGGGTATTCCTAGCGCCCCTCCGCCTCGCCGGAAGAAAGGGGGGCGCCAGGCCGGGAGGGCGCTGGGGCCATGCGGGGCGAGGGTGGCCCCGGCTCAGCCGGGGGGGGAGATGGCATCCCCCTGCAGAATCCTCCCGTCTGTGGCTGTGGTCGGCGTTTGCCCCCGTTCCCCTTCACCTGCACCGCCCCCGGGGGCTGCCCGCCCCACAGGGACGATGCAATTCTTTAATTTTTTTATTTATTTTTTTTTTTTTACGTAACGGTAATCGGTCATTGCGTGGGGGGCCCTTCCTCTGCCAACTTGTGGGGGTAGCAGGAGCGGGGATTCTGCAGGCAAATGCTGACTCCACAGCAGGCAGAAACGACTCCCTGGCTGCTGTCCGGAGGGGCTGGCCTTGGGCAGCGGCAGGTGGGAGCCGAGCGGGGCGAGGGCTGCGGGGCCGGGGCAGCCGCCCCGCCGGGGCAATGCGGGTCTTCCCGGGAGGCTGCTACACCCAAACTGCAGCGCAGGGCAGCCTTACGGCTCTTTAGCATTTTTATTTGAGTTATTTCACGCTGTGGGGTTTACTTTATTTGTTTAACCCGAGCTAGGTCGCTTTCTCTCCTAATATGAAAAGAAAATTACTTTTTTCCCCCCCTTATTTAAGAGCAGTAAAACCAGCTCCACGGCTCATCAGCCTTTCTGTGCAGGGCAGCACGTCCCACCTGCGTTTTTAAGAGGCATTTTGGAGAGCGTGAATAGATTTGGAAGTAGCTATACCTTTGAAATATTGCTTGCTAAGGAAACTGAATGTGGGCCAGCATGGGAGGAGGATGAGCCTTACATCTCTGGTTTGTTTTGTGTTTAGAGGTGGGGACCCCTTTTTTTTCCCTTGAGGGGTGGCATAATCCAACTGCTGTGTTTCAGCCCAGTGTTTTAAGCATGTGCCTCTGAGTACCCTATTGATTCTTGGACTGCTGTTGCTGCTGCAAGGGGGAAAAATCCAGCTGTAACAGGGGAGGGATGGTGAGAGAGGATGCAATCTCCTCCAGTGGGAACCAAAGCTGGATTGTTCCTGCAGCACCGCTCCTGGTGACTCAAACACGCTGGGTTTGTCTGTTCTCTGATGCGTGGGTCTGCCTCTCTGTAGTTGTCCCAATAACATCGTGTCTGGCGCTGCTGAACTGTTATGTCTCTGAACACGGTGTCTCAGGCCCACAAGGTAAAAGCAGTGATTACAGTACAATACGCTACAGTGGTTCTCAACTTCAAAGGGAAAATGCTTAATAGCAGCAGGCTGCCTTAGTAAAAAATAATAGGGAAATGGCTCTTCCTAGCAAGGGAGATGTTACTAACTGGCTTTTCCTGTCTCTCAGCTTTGATTTTCCCCCCTCTCCGGTGATTGCTGCCTGCTAAAAACCTCTGTGCAGTGCTGCCCATTGAAGGGAATCCAGCAGATCATACAAAGTTGGTGGGGAAAGACTGCAAGAAATATGCTGGTGGGGGGAAAAAAAAAGCTTGCACGTGGAGAAGCAACAGGAGAAAAAGGACCTGGGGCTTGTGTCCATAGGCCCTCAAGTTCACATGTGGTGCAGATGCAAGGCAGGGCTGCAGAGGGGCTGTCCCCCACCTGCCTGGTGACAGTGCCCTGTGCCAGGTGATGCCAGGTGCCGCAGCACGCTCCTAGAGAGCAGTGGTGGGGCTGATGTGCTTAGCTAAGGGCTTGCCTGCAGCTAAAATCCAGCCCAGGGGCCTACTGTGCCGGTGTGCCGGCTCTGGGTGAAAACAAAGTGCTAGCGGGAAGGTGAAGCAGGCACCTTTCCCTCTGGGAAAGTGACAAATCCATCTGACTCGCCTTGACACCCACTGAGGGTTGTTGTCACAACACACCCCTTTGGCAGCACACCAGCCCAAAGATAACGGAGGGAATTTGCCTTCCAAGGGCTTCCCGCTGCTGCTTTTGAGCCTGAGATGGGCGAAAAAGGCTCCACAGTCCCCCCTACCACTTTCAGTGAACCAGCGTGGTCAGGCTCTGGAAGGAAGAGATCCAGTTTGTAGCTTGCCACTACTTGTGTCCTGTGGTGCCCTGGGGAAGCTGGTGTTGGAAGCAGCTGGCCTTTCCAGAGAGCTGGGGGGTGTTTGGCTGGTATTCCTTAAAGGCAAATCTGTGAGATCTCAAGCTCAAAGGCTGAGTGCTGTTCCCTAGCGAGCAAAAGAGGCTTGAGCAACTTTGACCACTCAAATAGGATAGGTAGAACCCTGAGTGCTCTCCTGGTTTTGGCTCTGAAAAGAAATCTGGACTGTGTTAGGAGCAAAACTGGGGAGCCACAGAGCACCCTGGGCAGGCTGGGATGCTGCAGCTTCTGCGAGGGCAGTGCCAGCTGCATGGTGGCTGTTTTGAGTCAGCTCAGCTGGGACAGGCTCTTCACAAAAGCTTGCTGGGAGGAAGCATTTCTTCCACTGTCCCCCAAAATCCAAGCACTGTGCAGCCCGGGCAGAGCTTGCTGCAGTTTCCTGGGGTAAAGGAGAGGACATGGCATTAAGACTGTCCCCTCCTGTGTCGAAGTTGGAGATGACTGCAACCGCCTCATTTTCTCAGAGGGATTCCTAAGGCTGTTTTAAGAATTTTCTTTAATCCTATGCATTTTCAAGTGCCCTGCTAAAGTTCTACTTTCCCTCTTATACCCGTGGTCTTTGTGCTGAGCTTCTTCCCTCCCTCCTGCAAGAGATTCCTGACTACCAAGGACTGCAGCATGCAAGGCAGGCAGCCAGGCTGCGGGCTGGAGGAAAGTTCAGGGAACTGACTACTGAGATGAGCTGGGAAGTGTTGGGATACCCCCTAAAGCCCTTCCTATATCCTCACTTCAGTTTAGCTGCTGGGACCTTCCAGCTCTGCCAGCTGTGCTGGATCAGCTCGCTCCCAGCAGCAGTGGGAGCATCTGGTACTGAGGTGGCTGCAGGGGTGGGAAGAGCTCTTTCAGCTCAGGCTGAAGCATTAATTGTTGTCCCCACATGAAGTGAGGTGCTGATTGCTGCCTTCCAACAGGAGCTTGTAAGAAAAGACAGATTTGTGAAGGGCTGAACGCTTTTGTTGGCTGTTCATTACTCAGACTAGTGAGGGCTGAATGTAGGTGCCACTGTAGCCCCGTGGTTGCATCATTTGGGTCTTGAGTTAGTACATGAAGTTAACAGTCTGTTTGAACATGCAGCCTCAGAGTTTCCAGGCTGCAGAGCACCAAGATTGCAGCCAGGTGTGTTCTTCACTGTTACTCCACCAGGCACTTTGCTTTAAACACCAGAAAGGCTGGCTGAGTCTGAGCTGCCTGCCTAGAAAAGTGAGCCAGCTGAAGGAGGCTGGTGTTGCCCAGCCAGGGTGGGACAGCCAGCGTGTTGTTCCCCAGGGAAGCAGTGGTCTGAGTTGCATGAGGCAGTTCCATCTCTGCACGGAGCTTCTTTGGTGACAGAGCTCAGTCCCCTTCCCCAGCAAGGGCTGAGGTCCCCCACAGCAGCCCGGGGATCACTGCCATCATGTCACCACCTGGATGGCTGACAGAGAAGCCTGGGGGAGACCTGGGAGTGACCCAGGGCCACTAGCAGGAATTTCAGCAGCCCTGTGCCGGTTCAGCACCATTTCCTGGTGACGTTTGTTCTGTGGCTGGCAGGAACCCTGTATCACAAGGTCTGACTTGTTAAACACTGGTGTCAACGTGTGCTAGAGACTCATCAAACTTTCTAGTAGAAGGTTGTTCTGTGCCAGCCCCGATCAGACTGATACACAGGACGTTTTGATGGGTCAGCCCTTTCCTGTTACTGATGGAATATGTGTGAGTTCGTTATGGAGCCTGGTTACCATAGTCCCGTGGGCTCAGCCAGCTCCAGGCTATGGAGTTTGCAGCAGGGGCTCAGGAAAAATATCCTGTGCCTAAAACCGGAGGATTGGGAGGGATTGTGCTAGAGGGCTTGTTTTCCTCCCTGTGTGTAATCTGTGTTTAGAGCCTCTGTGTTTGTGCCCGTTTGTGCTCCAGCCTGGGATTGCTGATCACATGCACAGTGTCCCAGGGTGAGCGAACAGAAACCTGGCTATCCCACTCCTGGACTGGTTGGCCTGTGGCTCACAAAGGGAAAGGCAGGAATGGTGAACCTGCCTGGGAAAGCTCTGGGTGGAGGCCCAGGCTTTTGGTACGAGAATAGCAAGTTTCCAGTCCCAGTGTTGCCGTACGGATGTGCTCCTTTACGACTGGAAAGGATTGCGTGGGTCATGAACTAGGGCAGACATTTGATAGATGCTCTGGGACCCTTCCCAATTTGGTATCTGTTCTGTGTGTCACCCCAGTCCACCAGGCACTTCCTAGTACTCTATAATTACCGTAACCTTCAAGAAGAGACCAAAATCTGTAACTCATGTGCTGCTGGAGGGAAGGGAAGCGCTGCCACGGCTCCTGACTTCAGGGACATGACTGAGTAATAGCCCCCTGTGATGCCTGGAAAGAGAACTGTGCTACAGGGGAGACTGGAGAAATGAAACAAGTAATGACAGTGGTCCCTGATGTTTGATCTTAGGGAAAATCCTGTTAGATCCCAAAACTGGTGGCTGTTTTATCCACAGGCATGTGATGAGGGCACCCCAACCAGGCTGCTGTGGATGCAGAGCCATCAACAGCCCCTGCCAAGCCTGCTCACATCCCGATCCTGAAGGAAGGGCATTATGGCAGTGGTGTCCCTGGAGATAACCTCTGGGCTCCTCTCCCTGGTGAGATGTGACTGCTGCAGTCTGTCCTTGCTCCTGGCTGTAGCATTTGTCTTGGGCCAAGGGCATTGCTCCACTGAGGAGGACTGTCCTCGTGAGCAGCAGCTTGGCTCAGGGCAAGCAGCCTGCAGTGGTGGCAGGAGGCTGGGCCTCTCCTCCTTGCACACTGGAGCCCAGCACACACCTCTTCTGGTAGGTCTTGCTTCTGGCACAGCCCTTCTTCACCTGCTCCTGAGAGGTCTGGCAGCTTCAGCATTCTTTAGGGCTGAAATGACTTGATCTGGGTAAGTCACTTTTGCTGGGTATCTTATCTAGAATCTCTGGGAGGATGGGAGGTCCTTCCTGCAGCTGTAGAGGGAGCTTGGACACCCCTCTGTAGTGCCAGGCTCTCTGGGAGCGGACGGTCTGCTGTTAGTGAGTAGGTTTTAGCATGTCCACCTGCACAAAGGTTAGGAGTTCCTGCTAGCCCAGGACAGGCCTTACCCCCCAGAAGCAGAAGTACCTGTATTACTGTGGCTGCTGCACCAAACCTGGAGCAGAAGGCATCAGCTGTGTCCTGCCTGGCACCTTCACATGATGGTTCATGGTGATTGACTGTGGCACTGTCCATCAGCTTTCTCCCTAATACCCATCTGAAGTCATAATTCACTGCCTGATCAGAGCTACCCAAGAGGGATTGTGGGATAATCTGCATAATAATGTTGGGGAATTAGTCAACTCCTGAAGAATATTTGAGCAGCTGGCTGTAGGCCATGAATTAAATAGGTAATTAATATATTCCAAATAAATGTCAGGGGTAGGCCTCTGAACACCAGTCTTGATTTCTTCCCCTGTGCACCACCTCTCTCCTTTTGGGAAAATATGCTGGATTTCTCCCCCAGGTGCCCTCTGCCTCTTCCTTTCCAGCAGAATAAAGCTGTGCTTCTTCTTTGAACACTGGCTATTTGTGTGCTTGGTTCAGACAGAGGAGGAGTCCTGCAAGGGGAGCTGCAGCTGCCTCTGTTCAGGAATAACCTCTCCGAGCTTGCCACTTGTGCTGTGTGGATACCTCCCTCCCCACCGTCTGTGTGTGGTGTGGGTTGGTTGGCACAGCTTTCCCAGGGAGAAACTCAAGCACAAAGCCTGGGGGAGTGCAGCTCTGGGGGTTGCAGCCAGTTTACTTAAAGCAGGAGCCGAGTTCCCCTCGGTGCAGCGCGTGGGAAGTCGTGACCGATGGCAGCGGCTGGGGCTCGCTCCTTGCCTGTGTGCTTGGAAAGTCCTGCATTGGTTTCATGTGGCTAACATGGGAAAGGTCTGCTTGGCAACCATGGAGGCTGCTGGGTCCTGGCTATATTTAGTTTTAACCAAGTTCTGGAGGAGGGGAAGGCTTTTGCTTGAGAAAGCATCCTGTTGCCGGGAATGCACTGCGGCTGAATCACTGTCAGTGTTCGCCTTGGGTCGTGCTGAGGTGTGCATGGATGGTGTGGACATGGAGAAGGGGCTGTGTGGAAGCCTTGGCATGGCTCTCATCTACTGCAGATGAGATGTGTCATGTAAGGCAGAGCTAGGGGTGGGGCTCAAATCTTAGAGTTTTTCTCTGTTGGGATTCATTTGTAGCATCATGTCATCTTCCTCAAGTCATCTCCTGCAGTCCTGGGCTTCTCAGAGAAGAAACAATAGTTGTCTTCTCCCCTGGGAGAAACCACAAGGAATCTGCAAAGGAAGGAATCTAAGCCCAGGCCGTCCGTTCAAGTGGGTGCTGAGTGCATGTGTCAGCACCACGTGTCCCCTGGGTTACCCTGCATCCTGGCTGGTTGCATCCTGCCACTGTACTTTGGAGTCATGCTCCAGTCTTGGTCTTTCTGGTCATCTGCCAGCCTCCCCAGAGCCTGGCTGTGGCCATTTCTAATTATTAGTGAATATTTCACAGTCATGTATGTATGCTGTGCTGGTTTGGGAGAAGAGGGTTTAAGCAGGGGACGTGCCAGTCATTTGGGGGGACACTTCCCAAGGCCAGGAGTTTCTGTTCCTGTTGTGTAGGGGAATTTCCAAGCTCCGTGTTTCTGGTGTTTCTTCCTCCTTCACAGAGGGTGTTTATCAACCAAGGGGAAAAACTGCCTGTCCAGCTGTAGGAGATATTCAACTGGCATCAGGGAATGCCCCTCATGAACCATTGTTTCCATCACAAATGATAGTGAGAAAAGGAAAAACCTTCACTTGGACCTTGCTGAGGTTTGCTGCCCCACTGAGGCAAGATGAACGCAGCCCTGGGGTTGGAGGAACATGCCCTGTCCCCTCATGTCCCTCTGTCTTGCTGAACTTAATGCAGGTTTAATGTGTGAGCAGTGCCGTGGCCCACACCTGCAGGACCAAGGTGACATGTGTGCCTCTTCCCAGACCCCAGAGGTGACATCCTTGCTCACCCAGGCAGTGTGGTATGCTGAACCTGAGCTTGGTCCTAAGAACAGGGTGTCCTCATGGTCATCTTTCTCTACCACTTCTGCCAGCTCTCCAAAGCCCACCATGGAAAAGGGAAGAGTCTGGAGCATCTGCCTGGATGCTTTTGCAAGAGGCACCGTCCACCCCAGAGCCCTGATGGCAAACGCAGCTGGCATATGCTCTGATCCTCATCCTGGAACCCCAAGGGAGGACATGTTCCAGTCTCCAGCTGCCAGGGGATGTTTTCTCCTTGGATTTTTCTCACCATTGGGTGTCTTGAGTTGTGGGGCGTGGAAGAGAAGGGTGATTTTCAGAGCTGGTGGAGATTCTTCTCCCCCTTCCAGGATCAGTAGACCAGAGATTTTTGTGTTCATAAGGCAGAAAAAAGACTGACAGGAACTGTCTGGTGCTCTCAAATGATTTTATTGCCCATCCATGTGCTGAGGTCCAGGGGGGGAGAGTGAGCGCATTTGGTGTGTTACTTTGACTGATCCAAAGTAAAGGAGCCCTGTTCCCTCCACTGGGCTGGGGAAAGCAATTCCTGGTGCAGATCCATGTGGAGCCTGCGGATCTGTAGGCTGGGAAAACCTGTATGGCTGTGCTGAAAGGTGGTTTACTCCTAATGGCAAAGGGCCTGGGAAGTTTGGTGTCCTCGGCAGCTGTGGCCAAGGCTGAACCCTGCTGTGCTATGTCTCCTCGCTGCATGGGAAGGCAGCGGTGTCCAGGGGAGAGAGTGGGCAGGGAAAGTGGAGGAGAGGCACCGTGCACGCCCTGGTTTTGTGAAACCTACGGGATACAGCTGGATAAGCACTAGGGCTGACCCCAGCTGCAGAAGGATGTGGGGAGCGAGCAAACAGAGGAAACAGAGATTGGGCTCCGGCTTTGTGCCTGCGTGTGCCAAAGGGCAAGTGACTGGCACTGGCATGCAGGGCTTTGTTCTGGGTGGTAGCCGCCTGCTGCAGGGCAGGGCTGCCAACGTGGCTCAGGAAGCACAGCTAGCCAGCTGTGAGAAGCAGGAGGAGAAGGTGGGATGCTCAGGGAGACCCCATCCCTGACCTGAAACACGGAGTTGTGCCCCAGGCTGCCCGGGCTGTTGTCGGGCAGCCTGAGCCAGTTCACTCAGCAGCAGAGCTGTGTGGAGGCTCTCCAGCCAGGCTGGGGCTGACTCACAGCCCAGCGGTCACAGCCAAGTCAGGTCAGCCTGGCCTGGAGGGGAAGAGATGGTCTCTGGAGGCGGGAATGCCGTCAAATCTTCCAACTTCTCAGGCAAACAGCCTTGCCCTCTGCCTGCTGGGGTGACCTCCTCTGCCAGGCATGCATTCCCCTCCCTGTTCCTTCTCACCAACACCGTCTTCAGCTCTGCAGCCAGGTACGGAGCAGATGGTTGAACCAGCCAGGAGGTGGGAGCATGGAAAAAGCCACTGGCAGGCTGGGCTAGGCAGGTTGGGGCAAGCAAACTGCTCTTTGTAAGGCAGAGAGCTCTGCAGAGTGTTTGTGGTGACTAGGGCCAGGAGTGGCTCAGCAGGGCATCTGTAGCCAACGTGATTCCCATGAGGTGAAGGAGCTCAGTTTGGCACCAGGAGCACCTACTTTGCCCTGAACAGTGGATGCCGTGGGGCAGGAGCAGGCGGGACATGCAGGGCTCCTGCAGGCAGCAGAGCATTTCCCAGCCAGCCTGACCTTGGCTCCTGCTGGCCAGGGCAGTGCTGGCTGCCAGGTGGTGATGCAGTTAACACCACAGCAGCCAAGGACTCCTGTGACTAAGGAGAAGGGACTGAAGCAGGCTGTGGGATTTGTCCCCCAAGCTCTGAGGCCCAGTGTGACCCTGCCTCCTGCAGTGCCAGCAGTCCATGCTGGCCACCCGCACCCAGCCCACTCCGTGTGGTGTGAGAGGTGCCAGTCCCTGTGCCAGCAGCGCTCTGGGGATCTTGCACCGGCAGCCAGAGCCACGTGGCTCTCCAGCCGCTGACTCCGCAGTGCCCTTAGGCTTGCTGTGCCAAGAGGCACCAGGATATGCTCGGGCTGCTCCTCCCAGCCCTGGCAGCAGAGCTCCCTGATAAAGTCCCAGGGCTCTCTTCCTGGTGCCTTTTCATCCTGGGTTTTGTTTGCTCTCCCTCTGAGGACTCTCTGTCTGTGCCCGTACTGTGGTGGGGTTTCTGGGCTGGATCAGGGCTGGGGGAGCCAAGGCACGGGGCTCCTCCCAGGGAGGAGGCTCAGCCCTGGTGTCCCACAGCTCTGTTCCCTGGGGAGCTGCCTGGCAGGCTGGAGCAGCTGGGGCCCCTGGGCATGTGGCTGAACCCAGGGAGGAGCCAACTGTTCTGTTGCCACTTATACCCAGAACAGGAGCTGTGGGCAGGCCATAGGGGCGGAGGAGAGGGAGGCAGGCAGCAAGCTCAGTGCTGCTGTCACACTAAGGGGCACCACAGTGATGCCTCTGGAGGACTTTTCCCTCAGTGGCTTTGGGCTGGGCGTTCAAGATGACCACAAACTCTCGGATGGAGGTCCAGCAAGCAGTGCCCTGTGCATCCAGGAGTGAATGTTACCTAGGTGTTAGCCCTGTGCCACTTAGATACCACCTGCCACTGACTTGCTTCCTTTGCCATTCCTTTCCCAGTCTTCAGTATGTTCCAAGATCGTCCAGCTGCTGGGCCAGAATGAGGTGGACTACCGCCAGAAGCAGGTGGTGATTGTGAGCCAGGACAGCTTCTACCGGGTCCTCACCTCAGAGCAGAAATCCAAAGCACTCAAAGGCCAGTTCAATTTTGACCACCCAGGTGAATGGAGAACAGCACTGGGGCTCTGCTGCGTGGTGTGGGGTGAGGGCTGGAGTGGGACCCCCAGTTCACCAGCAAAGAGCCTGCATGGACACTGGGGCTCTGTCTCTACATGGGGCAGGACTGGGTGGCCTAGTTGGCCACCTGTGTCCCCTGCAGTACAGCTTCTGCATCTTGGGAAAGAAACTGCCTCTGGGGTGGAGTGTCTGCGATGAGAAAGGGCAGGTTGTGAACCCTCAAACTCTTCTTAAGATGCTTCTCTTCCTGCAAAAACATCCCCCAGTTTGAACACCTTTTTCACAGAATCATCAAATAGTTTGGGTTGGAAGAGATATTAAAGGTCATCTTCCACCTCACCTGCCATGGGCAGGGACACCCTTCACTAGACCAGGTTGCAAAGGAACAAATTGGTTTTTGGTGCAGCTGGGTTGGACACAGGGAGATCAGGCCTGGCACAGCCCCCTGCAGCCAGCAGCTCCATGTCCCTCCTTCAAGGAGGGAACCATCTGTGCAGCTGCTCTGCAAACCCCTTCACTGAGGGGGTTGTGTCCTGTTACTACAACAGAGGCCCTTTGAACCATCTCCAGGCCTGGTGGGGAAATTCCAGAGCCACCGTCCCTTCGTCCCCACGAGCACAATGGCCAGAGGCAGCGAGCACTGAGCAAACAGAGCCCTGTCTGTCCAGTGGCTCCAGGCTGGAACACTGCTCCAGTCTCTCCAAGGGCTGGAGCCCTGGAGGAGATGCCTTCCTGCACCCGGGCTGTCAGTGCTGCTGTACAAGGGCGGTATTGATCCCTGTGGGCCACATCCCAGGCTGCTGCAGAGCCATGAAGGCCCATGGCTTCGGGAGAGTTGGGTCTTGCTACGCCCATGGGGAGGTACAGGGCTTTCCTCCCAAGTCTGTACATCTGTCTGTCTCCAGTGCAGGGTGCCAGTGACTCTGGCTGGGCTGAACTCAGCATCTGGTGGGTGGGAGAGGTTGCAAAGCTGCCTCGGGTAACGTTTCCTCTCTCCTCAGATGCCTTTGACAACGAGCTGATCGTGAAAACACTCAAAGAGATCACAGAAGGGAAGACGGTCCAGATTCCTGTCTATGACTTTGTCTCCCACTCCAGGTCTAACAGCTGCTCCTGCCTTGCCTTGCTGTGCCTCCGCTAACGCCCTGTGGTGCAGCACCCAGCCCAAACCACCTGCCCCTCTCATGCCTGCTCTTAGGCACCTAACCTGCCAGCCAAAAGTTTCTGTCCTAACTACTCCAGCCCCCTTGGCTAGCGGATCCAGGGCAGATACAGGAACAGTCTGAGGGTCTGGAATAGCCATGCAGTGACATCCAGCAACATACAGGCGTCAGTGGAGGGAGATTAAGACCCTCCCCCTTTTTTTCCCCCATCTACACTTCCTCTCCCCATAAACTGTTTGCAGCTTTAACAAGTATTCCAGGCTCAAACAGCTCAGCAGTGCCAGGAAAGGAGGAGGATGACAGTTCTTGCTCCTGCAACACTTCCCTTGCATGTGTTCAGCTTCTTTCTGCATGCCTTTGTTGGTCATGGATGGTGTGACCCTGCTCCATTTCCCACAAAAGCGCTGTGCTGTCAGGGGAGTGCTGCCTGGTTCCCGAGGGAAGCGGAGCTGGCCGTGCAGGTTCCTGTGGGTCAAGCCCCATGCATAGGCTTTCCCGGGCTTTTTTATGGCTTGGCACATAACACTTGCAAGCAGCAGCTGGCTGAGGTGGGGGGAGAAGGCCTAGCGTGCTTCCCGCTCTGCCATTTATCCTTCCAGGAAGCGTACGTATGCCTTGGATTCCCTTCACGGCGGTGGGGTAGGTCTGCCCTCTCCTTGGTCGACCCCCTGGTGCAGCAGTGATGTCCCAGGGTTGGAGCAGTGCCTAGGAGCACCGCTGTTTCCCCTCCCTCTCCCCCCTCTCTTTGGCTTCCCTCCCCACCAGCATATTTTGACTCTCCTTCCCCCTGCTAGGAAAGAGGAGACGGTGACCGTGTACCCTGCCGACGTGGTGCTCTTCGAAGGCATCCTGGCCTTCTACAGCCAGGAGGTGCGGGACCTCTTCCGCATGAAGCTCTTCGTGGACACGGATGCGGACACCCGGCTGTCCCGCAGAGGTGAGGCCCTAACATGCCTTGTGCACCGGGGACAGAAATATCCCTTAACTGATCCGGGCAGCTGGTCATGGAGGCAGGTGACAGTGGCCAGAGCTGGCACAAAGCTGTGCTGCTGCTGGTGGAGGGCACGGCGGAGTGTCACGGAGGGCAGCTCGTGGCAGTGGAGAGCACCTTGCTCCATGTCTCCTGGGACTTTTGCTGCCTTGCCTGGGATTCCTGCTCTGATGCATGCAGCATGTGACTGCTGAGCGTGCCGTGTCCTCATATGGCCCCACGGCACCAGCTCTGTGCCAGCAGCTGAGTGGCAGCTGCTGCCAGTCAGCAGTTACCAGCACGGAAGGGTGCAGCAGGCAAGGCAAAGCATCTGGACAGTTCAGTCAGAAGGCAGTGCCTGATAGATCCCCTCAGGACCCGAGGTATGAGTCTCCTGGGGGAAGAGAACTGGAAGGGTAAAAGTGAGAAAACTTGTGGATAAAGACAGTTTAACAGGTAAAGTGCTCTGAGGATGGTTTTGGGGTGTGAGAATGTCCGTTGTGGATGGTGCAAATGGAGTGTCTGGTTGTACATCTTGGTCTGTGCAATGCAGCGTGGAGCCTCTTTGGGGTTCTTGGCACTGGGGTTATGGTTTGGGGGCAAAGAGCCCTAGAAACCAGAACATCCCTCTCTAGGACTCCCCTTGTCCAGCTGGCTTGGCTGTGGATTGCCAGCTGACATGGGAGGAACTCCAGCTCTGCAGGGTCTGCATGACTTGAGATGCTGTTCATTTTGAAGCAGCCTTTAGGAGCGGTTCACTGATATAGCACCTCCTGGCTGACTGGAAAAGCATCTGAGGACTCCTGGGGTCAGAATTCACTTCTGTCTGAACTGTCCCTTCCCCTGCCTGGCTCCAAGAGACTCCACAGGGTGTCTGGGGATGCAGAAGGAGTGGTTTGTTCCAGAGCTCTGTGCTGTGACGAGAGGAGCGTGTCTCAGTGCGTCAGTCTGGGAGTGTTGAGTGCATGGGACTGTTCCACATTGCAATAGAGCTGGTCTTGCTTGCCCTCCTGCTGTCAGGCAGATACACAGCCTCCTCAGCTGCTGGGATGTCATCAGCACTGATTAAAATCTCCTTTTTACGCATCCCTCTTGACCCTGCCCACTGTTCCTACATGACTCATCCAGGGAGGTGACAGCACAGTCATCACAGGGAGATGTATTAGCAGGTCACAGATACGCACTTGCAAGATCCCGAAATGTGAGCCTTAATCCCTTTAAACAGAAGCCTGGATCCACACCCAGCTACAGGGCAGCACACTGTCCTGGTGTAACCCCAGCCAGCAGCTCAGCTCCACGCAGCTGCTCACCCAACCTCCCCTGGTGGGATGGGGGAGAGAGTCAGAAGGGTAAAAGTGAGAAAACTTGTGGGTTGGCATAAAGGCAGTTCAGGAGGCAAAGCAAAAGCCACAAGCAAAGCAAGATGAGGAATTTATCACCACTTTCCGTGGGCAGGCAGTTGTTCAGCCGTCCCAGGGAAAGCAGGGCTCCATCACGTGTAACCGTTATGTGGGAGGACAAACGCCAGCACTTTGAATGTCTCCCCTTCCTCCTTCTTCCTTCAGCTTTATGTCATCCTATATGGACGTATGGAACGTCCCTTGGGTCAGTTGTGGTCAGCTGTCCCAGCTGTGTCCCCTCCCCTTGCTGGTGGGGTGGGGTGAGGAGCAGAAAAGGCCTTGGATCTGTGTAAGCACTGCTCAGCAACAACGAAAACATCTCTGTGTTACTAACACTGTTTTTAGCACAAATATGAAACACAGCCCCATACCAGCCACCGTGAAGAGAATTAACTCTATCCCAGCCAAAACCAGCACATTCTTCCATCTCTTATTCCAAACCACTTCCATCATGCTGAGGTCCCACGCTATCCAATACATTCTCTTTACCCACCACCCTTCTTCCCATCTTTTGATGTAACATACAGATATCATTCCCTGTGTTATGGATCATCCCTGTTAATGTGCCCCAAGTGTCCACTGCATTTATTTAGTCCATGGCTTTGGGCTCCATCTGTTATGGTGGTCACTCAGGACAGGAGAGGCGTGTTGTGTGGAGTTAGTGGGCACCAAAGCCAGTTCAGGTCAGGTCACTGCTGTGCTCACACTGCTTCTGGTAAGGCTTGTACTTCTTCCATTCACCATCAGTTGCTTGCACAGGGGCAGCTCAGCTGATTGAGGTGCTGGTGTCTCCTAGTTAGGGCAACTTTGTGTTCCCCTGGTAGGAATCTGGCTGTTTGTCTGCTGTCAGCAGCTGGTAGGACCACTGCAGCATTAAATCTGTTTACTGTATGTCTCCCTGGCATTTCTGGGAAAGGATAGCCTGTGTGTGAGGTGCCAAAGGTGTAATCATGTCCCTGGAACGTAGCTGGAGGCAGCTTGTAGCAAAAGTTGGGATCTTGCATTGTGATGTGGCCCTGAGTCATCTTTCTGTCCCAGAAGTCCTAAAGGGTTGCATCAATGTGCTTTTCAGCTGGGCAGCAGCAGGAAGTGAGGTTCCTGGAAACCCTGCTGATGGCTCAGTTGATCAATAGTGCTGGGGTTCAGTATGTGCAACTCGCACTGTCCCCATCCCTGCCCCTCTCCCAAGAAAAATGCCACTAGCAGAGTGCAAGGGGCAAGGTCTGTGAGGTACCTCAAACAACCTGATCCACGGGGATCAGGGACCTGACTCTGACTGAGATCCCTCGCTGCCCTGTCCTTGGCCAGTTTCCGTAAAACAAAGGTCCGGTGTCACATGCCTGTTTTGGGCCTGATTTGAGTGATGCCTGCTGGCTTCAAATGGGTGCCGGTCTGTCCTTGGGATATTTGCCTGCCCTGTGAGTGATCCCTCCAGACTGGGTGCATGGTCTAGCCTGGGTTGTTGGGACCTGTTGTTTTGAGGCCAGGTACCAGACAGTGGGTGCTTGACTTCTGTTTGTGTGGGGGGCAATTCCTGCTGTGGTCTGCCCTGGGAACAGGCAGGGGAGCTTTGCCCTGTTAGGACCAGCCCCTGCACCCTGGGGCTGCTCTTGGGCCTCCTGCACGTGCTGTAAGTACACCCTTCCCTGCCCTGGCACAGACAACAAATAGGGTGTGGGACCTGGGAAACAAAAGCCTGTTTTATTTTCCATGCCTCTTTTTCTGTATTGTTTGAGCAGGGGCTTGCTCCTGCTCTTGGGAGCAGGCAGGGAGCTGGCACATATCCTTTTCCCCCCCATCACTTCCCCTGTGCAGGGCTGTGAAAGGGCATGCTGTGAAGCTGCTGGCCAAGGGCAAAGAGCCGTGGGGACAGTGCCAGACCAGCACTGTCCTGGCCCTGCGAGCACAGGGGCAGCGGCTGCCCAGCAGGTCACGCAGGCTGGCAGTGCCGTGCCTTGGCTCTGCTTGGGACATGAGGGAAGGCTCACTCCCAGCCCAGTGCCAGGCACTAGCATGCTGGGGAAAAGCCAGACAGCCCCTTGGGGAGAGCCAAGAGCTGTCTGCTCGGCCACAGGGCTGTTTTGGCTCTTCCCTGTGGATTGAATTCCTGCTGAACTGGGCCACTTGTCCACACTGAAGTGTCTTCAGAGCAGAGATGGCAGCGGCCCAAATAAATAGCTCATGCAAACAGGGTGTAAGGCCCCAGTGGCAGAACAAGCAGGAGGCCAGCTTGCTCTCCTGCCTTCTGGCTTCCTCCTGAGCTCACCTCCTCCAAGCACACCCTTAGACTGCTTTGCCTTCCTGTCCCACTCGGCCTAGGAGAGCATGAGGAGCCTGGCAGAGCTGGGCAGGGAGTTGAGTTTTGCTCTCCTCGCCTCTGTAGACCTGAGTTAAACTGGGCCTTAGTATGTATATGGGTAACCTCACTGCATTTCTATTCTTTGGACACATCTGCACGGGGATGACTGAGAGAATGCCCTGTCCAGCAAGGCAGAGCCACAGGAGGGAGGTGAGGGCTGAGGCTGGGAATTGTTAGGACCAGGGTGCCACTGGTTACAACTGGAATATGCTTGCAGAGCTGAGAAGGGCAGGAGGCCAAGAAAAGCCCTTGGTCAGGTCAGCCAGCCCCTGGCTCCCAGGAAAGCTTGGAAGCGGGTTAAAAGCATGTAGCTGGGCTGGGATGTGCTCAGACACATGGGCAACAGCTTCCAGGAACAGAGACCTTGGGCAAAATAGCTGAGTGGCTGGCCAAAGGCTGTACTGAAGGGAAAGAAGGTGGAGAGATTTGTGTCTGAGCTCCTGACTGTGCCTTATATCTTCCCCACAGTGCTACGAGACATCAGTGAGCGAGGCAGGGACCTCGAGCAGATCTTATCTCAGTACATCACCTTCGTCAAGCCTGCCTTCGAGGAGTTCTGTTTGCCGGTAAGTCAGGGGAGTGACACCCATGGGAGTCTGCCAAAAATACCTCATACCCTGCCCAGCTCCTCAGACAGGGGCATTTTGTGCCCAGAGCTCAGCTCAGCCTTCTGTGCATTGCTCCTTCCCTGCAAGCTCTGGCCAAAATGGGGCTGCCAGTGCTGGCCAGGGCAGGGCAAGATGGGGACTATTTATACAGCCACTGCCCTCCTGGTGAGATCACCCTTCCCTAGGGGAAGGTGACATGACAAGAGAAACCCCTCCCTGCACAGGGCCTGACAAACCACTGGGCATCTCAGCAGGTGCCAGCCTGGGAGGGAAGATCCTTGGCTACCTTTAGCCAGGGGAGATCACCACCCCCAGGCAGTGTCTGCTGTGGCTGCCTACTCTTTTGGGCTGTCCTGCCTGCCCTTTCCACTCTCCAGTGCTGCTGCTTCATACCTGGGAGAGTAGGGAAGCTGCTGCTTCTCTCCACACCATGGGATGTGGCCTTGCAGGTTGCATTTCCTGACTGGTGAGTGGCCAGGGTGGGCCAGGGTTGCAGGGTCTGCCTGGAGAAAGGAAGCTCTTTTGGGAGCTGTTACTGGAGGCAAGACTCTCTAGCAGACAGGCACTGTGCATGTGGGAGACCAGTCCTGCAGAACTCGCAGGGGAAATAGTATGTTTGCAGGATTAGCCATTGTACACCTTTCCTGGCTCTCATGGAGAGGACCCTGTGCCTTGGTTCTCAAGGCTTTTTAGGCAGATGTGGTAGTTATATGAGGAATTTTTGTCTTAGTCTGGAGGAACTGAGCCACTAGAGTCCTGTAACCTGGAAACTGCTGGCTAGCATCACAGGCAGGAATTAAACCTGTGCCTCCAGCCTCAGGAGCATCTCTGTGCCAGCCTAGCCAGCTCTACCCTTTCCCATAAGAGGGGCTGATTTTTTTCTGTGCTACAGGATCTTTTCCTGGCTCCTATGCAGCTCCCTTTTCTCCGTTGTGGCTCTGGGGACCATTTCCAGTGTAATCCCAGAAAGGCTTTTCCCAAAAGGCTCCTCTCCTTGCAATCCCCAGCAAGGTAAAGCAGCAGATGCTGCTTCATCAGTGTCTTCTGATGAAGAGTCTGTAGGAGGATGAAATGTGAAACAGGGAGGGCAGAAAACTGCTTTGTCCCTACCCACAGCTTTGCAGTGGTCTGCTCCCACTTCCAGCCCTGTGCTCAGTGGCAGAGCAATTGCATGCAGATATCAAGCACACTCAGCACCCACTGTTGCTGTTATTCGACTCCTAAACCAGCTCTGGGCCGAGCAGTCCAGCACTGAAATGGTCCAGCATATCCTGGTGATTTTTGATATGTCTGGAAGCACTCAGAGGTGTCAGGTGACACCCATCACCCAGCTGGCTTGGTGGAGTTTGGCTGTCAGCTGTAAAACTGACACAAATGGGGGAGGAAACTGAGACTGGCACCTGCAGGTGAAACTAGGTCAGAACTGGTGTCCTGAATCACACCTTCTTTGCAAGCAATGTGGTAGGGAATTCTCCCCCCATTCTGAACAGATCATGTGGCTGTGCTCAGGCAAGTCTGGATGGATTCAGTGAGAAGGATGTTCCCAAAAGCATCAGATGCTGGAGTCTTGTGATCATGAGGCTTCTTAATTCCAGGTTTTGTTAGGGTGCCTCTTACTGGCATCTCTATGAGCTCAGGAAAATGGAATCAGGGCACAAAGCATAACCCTCAAAACACAGAGCAGAACACCAAAGAGAGCGTCCAAAATGGATTATCAGCAATCGGTGGGTTTGGGTTTGGCAAGGGGAGGGCAAGGACCTGCCCCAGGAAGCAGGGATGATGCCCCAGCCTGGTGTCTCTCCAATTTCCCTGTAATGTAGTGCTCTCTCTCCTCCCAGACCAAGAAGTATGCTGACGTGATCATTCCCAGAGGAGCAGATAATGAAGGTAAGTGGGACCCAGACCCCTGGCAGGTGGCTTTGGGCTGTTGCTCTTGCAGTGGAATTAGGTAGGAGGTAGCAGGCCCTGCCACGGAGGTGACCCAGGCCGCTGCCACCCGAGAGAGTGCTGTTACCACACTGTGCTGAGATGAGCCTGTTCCCTTTGCTCCTGCCTGGAGCGTTAGTGACTGGGAGTTTGTGTTTCTCTGCTCAAGCCTAAGAGCCCATCTATATGCAGTACTTCCAAGCTTCCAAGCAAACTCCTGGTTCATCTCACATAAAGGGAAATGCACTTCTTCAAGGCCTGGGTCAGCCAGGCCTGGAATCAGCCTGACCATACTGGCTTGAGTGCCAGGCTTAGCTGGGGCAGAGGGATGAAATCCCAGTGGGGCAACGGGGCAGCTCCTCCCCGCAAGGTTGGGATGGGAGGGGACCAGGAGCAGGAGAGAGACAAGCAGGGGCACCTGCTGGTTGATTCGCAGCGATCCTAACGCAACCTCTCCCCCTTTTGCTCACAGTGGCCATAAACCTGATAGTGCAGCACATCCAGGACATTCTTAACGGAGGACTCAGCAAACGCCAGAGCAACGGCTACCTGAACGGCTACACTCCTCCGCGCCAGCGGCAGCCCTCAGAGTCCAGCAGCCGGCCTCACTGACCCCGGGCGGAGGCGTGAGGCTGCGGGCCGGGCACCAGGCCCTGCCACTGCCCCTCTGTACATACTGTCCGTTCGATCCCCCCTTATCTATTTAAGAAACCAGACGGAGACGAATGCCTTTAATTTTGTATGTTCGAAATGCCGAATGAGAAGCAGCCGGTTGCTCGGGAGCCCGGACCGCCCACAGCTCCTGGCCTTGCTCAATAACTCCTCCAGCACGGAGCCGGCTATAAATCTCTATAAATATAGAATTGCTCTATTTTTGTGTAAATGCAGAATAACGTAAAATTACTTGCCATAAGGTATTTGCCAGGCTCGGTGTTGCTGGGAGGGGCCGGGAAGAAGGTCCTGGGAGATGTTGGTGTCAGGATCTTCACCTCAAAGGCGGTAAGGAAGGAAGAACATTCAACAACTGCTTTAGTATCGCAGGTCTCCATCCCAGGGAAGGGCTGGGCTGTGGTGGAGGTGGCAGCTTGAGTGTGGCATGAGTGTTACAACTGGGCTGGGGTTGCCTCCTCCTGCCATTGCTGTTCAGGTCCGAGCAGCCTGGTGTTGGCTGGCAGGTGCTGGACAATGCCACTGGGAGCTAGGAGAATGATGTGGAAATACCCTGACTGTCTCTGCACCTCCAAGTCTCAGTCCCTCAACAGCATCCCATTCTGTGTCTGAAACCCCTTCCCACCACAGGTGTGAGGCTGCTGTCACACCCTCCAGCAAGGGCCTGGTAGGTGGTGCTGGGAGTGTGGTTACACAGACATGGCATCTCGCATCTTTAGCAGTCTCACTGCCTGGCTTGTGTGGGGACAGCATGTGGATACCTTCAGTCCCTCTGGAGTTTGGGGGCCATGTCTGTGGTGGCACTGCTACTTGAGCCCTGGGCTCAACCCTGAGCCTGGAGGTTTGGCTTGCAGGTCAGAGCTGTGCCTGTCATTCCTCACTTGGAAAAGTTCTGCTCTTGTATGGGGGATTTGGGATCTGTGACATACAGTTAAGGGGGAACCAGCCTCTTCTAAAAGAAAGGGGCAATAGATGATAAAAGGCAGCTGAGGGGGTAAGCATTGTGTAATGGTCCTGGGCTGCTTGGCATCCCCGTGTGGGATATCCACAGGTCCCAGCAGGGTAGTGTGAAACTGGGTGCCCAGAAGTCCCCTGCTCCCCTTTTCCAGAGCATGCTCTTGCCTGGCCTGTGTCCCTTTCATTGTGTCCTGGTGGACAACACTGTCCCTGCAGTATGTTGTCCCAAGGGCTGCCCAGGCATGCCCTCCCTTGCCCAGGGTGAGAATCAGTCTCCCCTAATCTAGTAGTGCTACAACAGCTGTATCTGGGGGTCCTGGTGGGGTTGTACTGCAGATCTGGGAATGCCTAGGGAGCAAGGTGTGGCAGTTGGGCTGGGGCAGGGGCTTGGTGGGAGCTAGTGAAGGGGATGTAGTGGGACAATAGCTAGGAAAGATCCTTTGCCCCATGCTGCTGAGACCAATTTCCTCTACTGGAAACAAAATTTCATAGGCATCCATCCCACAAAGCCTGGAGCAGGAACCCTTAGACTTGCTCTCTCTGATAATTTTCAGTCTTTCCAGAGCATGGGTTTTGCTCTATATGGTTAAAAATTTAGGACCTTAGACCATGTGCTGTCGCTCTCCAGCCCGATGTGAGCCGAGACAAGCTTTGGTCTTTACAGAGAACAAGAAAGGAAACACCTCCCCCCAGTGACTGCTGCCGGGGCAAACTCATTCCCTCTTGGTCTGTAATGGGGCCACATGGCAGCCCTTTATCCCCCTCCCTGTCTTCCAGCACTCCCCAAGGCATGCCAGTTTTGCCATAAGCAAGGGCTGGCACTGGCTAATTCTACCTATTGCTGTAGGTAAGAGTGACCACAGCCCTGCAGAACTGGTGAGGCTTCTCAGGGCTTAAGCAGCTAAGACAGCTGTCAAGATAAAATACTGGCCTCCTCTCCCCAGTGAATAAAGACAGAATAAATGGATGCTGGTGTTTATTGTCTCCTGTTTGGTACTGCATGTTGCTGACTGTGGTCCCAGTATGCAAGCAGACTTGGCCAACGTTGTCTTAGTTGTGCAAGTCAAAGCCAAACCTGGAGCAAAGCTGCTGGCACAGACTGCTACTTTGGTGAAGAAGGAGGTGCTGGAGGCAGTGGCTCTGGCTTTTGGCTGGCCAGCCATCTCTCAGCGAGTCCTGGTGCACATGTGCCTGGGGGTTTTGTGGAACCCCTCTGTGCTCTCAGGATAGCAGGGAGGGGGACAAGTTCAGCCCTTCCCAGTAAGTATGTTGAAGAGATGACAGTCAAGTGGATTTCATCAAAAGACCTCACAGGCAGGGTGGCATTAGCACTAGTGGGGTGTCAGGCAAGGGTGAGGCTGCTTTTAGCAAAGGAGTAAATAATTTTGTGGTGAACCACTTGATGTCAGCATGGGTTCACAGAGGGGAAGTCCTGCCTAAACGATGTGATAACTCCCTCAGAAGAAATGACTGGCTTGGTAGATGAGGGAAGAGCAGGGCATGTTGTCTACCCTGACTTGTGTCCGGCTTTTGATATGGTCCCCTGTACCATCCTCATAGTGAAGCTGTTGATGTATGGGCTGGATGAGCCCAGAGATAGATGGAAAATGGGCTGAAAGGCTGGTCCCAACAGCGTGGTGATCAGTGGTGTAGGCAGGGGTCCACAGTAGGTCCAGGCAATTAAACATCTTCACTGAAGATCTGCATGACGGAGAAATCTGTTGACAGAAACTTTTTGATGTTCAACAAAGGGAATTGCAAAGTCCTGCACTTGGGAAAGAACAATCACATGCACCAGTACGTGCTGGGGCCGCCCATCTGGAACACACCTCTTCAGAGAAGGCTGTGAGGGTCCGGGTTAGCCTGCAATGTGCCCTTGCAGCAGAGAGCTAAGGGTATCCTGGGCTTCTTTAGGGAAGTGTTGCTGGCATGTTGAGGGAGGTGATCCTTCCCCTCTGCTTGGGTGAGGCCACACCTGTGCACTGTGTCCAGTTCTGGGCTCTCCAGTACAGGAGCTACTGGTGAGAGTCCATCAAAGGGCCATGAAGGGATGGAGTGTCTCTCCTATGAGGAAAGATTAAGAGATGTGGAATTGTTCAGGCTGGAGGAGGCTGAGGGGGAATCTTATTAATGTATATAAATAGCAGGAGGGAGGGTGAAAAGACAGGACCAGTGATAGAACATGGATACAAACTGAAAAAGAAGGGGTTCCCTATGAACATCAGGAAACGCTTAAGTGCTGTGAGAGTAACTGAGCATTGTCACAGCTTGTCCAGAGGTGGTGTGTAGTCTCTATTCTTGGAGTTATTAAAAGCCACCTGGAGAAGTTCATGGGTAACTGCTCGAGACAACCCTGCCTGAGCATGGGCTTGGACAAACAGCTGCCAGGAGCCTTCTGACCTCAGGCAGTCTGTGAATTTTAAAGATCTTTAAATCTCCCCGTTTGGCTGGGAGAGGAGCTGGTGCCAGCTTTATCCCTTCTCTGGGGTCCCTGAGCTCAGCTATGAGCCGTGTCCCTGTCCCTCCTCAGGGGGACTTCCAGCACAGCAGCCCCTGCAAGTTCCCCCGTGCAGTTTCCCCTCAGGTGAGAATATGGTGATGTGCTGATGCCAAGGTGGAGACAGGATTGCTGTGGGGAAGAACTTGCTGCTGGCCTCTGGCAGTGACCATGGGCAGAAGCAGCACCCCCCTCTCCCCAGCACCCATTCTAAGGATTAAAGAACCCATTGGCCCCTGCCACCTTACAGGGACACAGGGAGCAACCACCACACACCTTACAGGGACACGGGCACACCCGGGGCACCTCGGTGGGACACAGACAGCGGCCAGGAACCTCTTGGGGATGTGGATGGACACCCTGACAGAACGGGAGCCCCTCTCCTTGGGAATGTGGTACCCGTGGGGCACCTCATGGCCATGGGTGGCTGTTCTGCCTCAGATCCCGCCCTGCATGGACAGCAGTGCTCACCTGTTCCACTGCCGTTCCATTGCCAATGGCCAAGCGCTGGCTCTAGCTGGAGCTGGGACCAGGGGATCTGGGGAAGGTCCTGCTCTTCCGAAATCTTTCTGCTACCTTCCTTTGGTAGTACTCGTGCCGGAGCTGTTGCAGGTAAAGGCGATGCACAGACCTGGTGGTCCTGAGCAGCAGCATGGTTTCAGCCCTCATCATCTTGTAAAATTGGGCATGGCTAAAGGTGCGTTTTGCCCGGCGGCCTGTCCTCACGGACTGTGAAGCTGCCTGTTCCCTTCCCTGGAAGTGACAGAGCCAGGGGCACAATGAAGTGCACAGGAGCTTGAGGGGCCAAGAAGGGTCCTGTTGGCCTTGTCTTCCTCTGGGAGCATTTCAGCCTTATCAGGACTGCTCCAGGCAGCACGCTGGGCTGAGGAAACCTCTGGCAGGTTCCATGTCATGCTGGGGGCTTCCAGAGAGTGTCAGACCTGTGGCTTGGTGTGTCCCTGGGGAAGAGGCAGAGGACCCCTCGGGGCCTGCTGAGGCTCTCTTGCCCATGCTGGGTTTTGGTTTTTCATAGCCAAGGCTGTTGTGCTTACCTGCACCTGTCTCTTCCTGTATGAGTGCTCTTGAGTGCTCGCCTGACTCTGGGGTTCCCGCACATTTCTGCAGATGCGAAGTATAATAAAAGCCACACCAATCACCCCCATGATTTGCCAGGTCCTGCAGAGAAGATGGGGCATGTCCCCCCAGGCAAGGTAGACCCAAAGCTGGCCCAGAGGGTAGGGCAGGTCAGAGGCTGCGCTCCCTGTGACAAGGGATGGTTTTTTTGGGCCCTTAGGAATGATGGCTGTCTTGACCCTGACCCTCTTGGCAGCAGTGGGTGACAGAGACAGGCTCCAGAGCACCATGGCCAGGGACAGCACCAGGAGGAGCCTCATTGTGGTCTCATTGAGGAAACCACCTCAACATGCTGTCACCCAGAGCAGAGCTCAGGCAGCGGCCACCTGGATTGAGGGGTCGCCCCGCTGGAACGTGTTTGCAGGTATAGCCAGTGTGTTGTCACAGGCTGCTGTGGCACAAGGCTCTGGGATGTCACAAAGGCTCTTTCCGCCTGGCCAGCAGGTGATGAAGGCTGAGGTGGAGCTGGAGAGGACCTGGGTAGGCGCTTTTTGAAGCCTGCTGCTCCCACTGCTGTGCCTTGGAGGGGAATATTGAAATCTTCCTCCCCTGGGCACCCCCTGGGACCCCCACCAGGACATGGGCACCCTGCTGGGATGTGAGGCCCTCCTCCTGGAATGTGGCACCAGGAGAGCCCCTCACAGCCATGGATGCCTGCTCTCTCCCACCCCAGTTCTCCCATGGCTCCCAGAGCACACGTTCTGGAAACCTGCAAACAGCAGCCTGGCTCACACCCCTGCCTTCCATGTTGCTCCTTCTGTGGATGCCCTCGGTACCGAAAGGACTTGCAGAGGAACAATAAACTTCATTGATACGAACAGTGCAAGAAGATTCTGAAAGTAGGCTGCTCCCAGCAGGAATTTTGCTGAGTTTTGCAGATGTCTCTGTGCATGGGCATGCTCTGACTGTCATGTTTGGGGAAACAGAGCCTGGCCTTTGGGATGCCAGTGGGCCCTGGCGACACCTTTGGGAGGGTGGCAAAGGGGACCCCCCCTGAGAGTTGCTAAATGTTCACTGGCTGTTGTGCTGCGTGGACATCCTGCAGAGAATTCACTGCTCTCTGGAAGAAAATACTCCAGCTGGCATTGTTATCCACCTACTTCCAAGCCACTACCCCTCTTCCAGGTGCAATGCTTGCAATCACACCAACTTTGGAGATTCTAAGGACTAAGGAACCCAGTGGGTCATGGGCAGGCACTGGGCACATGTTACAGGGACATGAGGAGCAACCACCACTGGCAAAACAGTTCACGGAATCATAGAATATCCTGAGCTGGAAGGGGCCCACAAGGATCCCTTCAAGGATCCCATCAAAGTCCAACTCCTGTCCCTGCACAGAATCACAGAATGGTTAAGGTTGGAAGGGACCACAGTAGGTCATCATTTTTCATCGTTAGGGTGGTCAGACATTGGAGTCACCATCCCTGGAGGTGTTTAAGAGGTATCTGTAGCTGGGCGATGTGGCTCAGTGGTTTAGGGGCCACAGTGGGCAGCGCTGGGTTGATGGTTGGGCTCATTAGATCTTAAAGCTCTCTTCCAGCCTTGACGATTCCCTGATCCTATAATTCTACGACACGACCCACGGGGCCCTGCGCACGCAGTGGCCTCTGCCGCTCGCGGGGACACGGGCTCCAGGACACGGTCGCTGGTCACGACGTGGGCCGGCGGGGCAGGCCGGCGGGGCAGGGGCTGGCCGGACAGCACGGCCCGGCTCTCACGCCCCAGCCCCGCTGCGGGGCCTGCGGGGGTCCGTCCGCCCGGGGGCCGGGCGTGCGGGCCGTGCGGGCCGGCGAGCGCGCTGCTCTCTGCGGCGGGCGGCGGCTCCTGGGGCGGAAGGGCGGGCGCGGCCGGCGGCGCACAAGGCGGCGGTTGCGGGGGTTCGGGACCCGCTTCCTGCGCTGAGGACGCGCTCGGGCGGCTCTGCGGGAGCGCGCGGATGGCGGTCGGCGACCCCGCGCGCCGGCGCTGAGTGAGCGAGTGAGTGAGTGCAGCGAAGTGAGCGGAGCGGGGGCGTGCGGGGCCGGCCGGGCAGCAGCGGCGGCTCCGCGGGGCCTGCCACCACGGGGGAGCGGCGGGGCGGAAGCTCGGCCGCGCTGCCCTGCCCGGCACGCGCCGGGGCCCTGCGCCCGCCCTCTCCCGGCGCTGAGGGGGGGGGGGCGGCGCTGCGCGGCTCCGCGGCTCGGCTGGGCTGGTCGCGGGGCCGGGGTCCGGTCCCTGCGCGCTGGCGGGTCGGCTCGCTGCCGCCCTGCCCGCACGGCTGCCCGTCGCGCACGAGCTGCCGCGAGACGCCGAGGGATGCCCCGCGGGAGCCCGAGAGCCCCGGCCAGGCTGTGCTGGGGAAACCGCCCCTCTCCCAGCTGTTTATTGCTGCCCGCGGCAGCGCAAGGACCTCGGCTTGAATGCTTGAATGGCTTTTTTTTGTTGTTGTTGTTTCTCCCCCCACCCCCCCTCGTAGCCCCCTCTCGGGTTTTTAATGTGGGTTTAAGGGGATTAAATCTGATGCAATCGGTTGGCTAAGAATAGCCTGGTCCGCGATCCTTCCCATGTGCAAAGTGCTCGGATCCCTGCGTGCTCGCACACGGGAGGTGCGGAGGTGCCGCTTCCAGCGGTGTTCCCCGCGCTGGGATGCGGGCAGGCTCGGTTTTCCGGGAGCCCCTCCGTCTGGCTGGGCAGCCGGAGCTCGGGTTTAAATTGGTATGCGGTGCCCTGACCGGGAGGAATTGCCTTTCTTTATTTGCGGGGAAGTACGAACCTGAGTAATTCGCAAGTGTGGCAGGCAGCAAGTCTGAGCTTATCCTTCATTAGCTGGCGAACTGCACGGGTTGTGTGTCTGGGATAAAGTACCCGGGGAATGTTGCATGTAAAATAAGGTGCTTCTTCACGTAGAAAAATAAAGCTGTAACCATTTCGTAGTTTAATTTAAATTGTGCCAAAAATATTTCGTTTATTGCTGGATGCAGGGCTCTAATCTGACAATCTCTGTCTTCCAAATATGCTCTTATTCTTCCTAAATTTAAGCTTTTCTCTTTTAGCTGCTACATCTGTTTGTTTTAAGAGTTAATTCATTCCCTTGCTGTCATTGCTTTTCCCACAGTTTGAGTGGTTTCCCATCTCCCACTCCCTTTTTGGATGGGAAGAGGTTTGTGATTATCAGTGTGGAAGGAGAACACCTTTCTGTTCTGTTAATAGATTTTTTCTTGACAAAAATTTAGGCTTATTGCTTTAAATAATAACTGAATTAAATTTATTCCTAAGTGAATAGTCATAGAAAATGAAATTGGGACAAGCGATGCCCTTGTAAAAAGGGTTAATTTACATTAGAATTAGAAGTTAGTGGTTGAATATGAAAGGCCTGTGCAGTTTGCAACTGTTATTGGTCTCAGAAAATGAATATTTG